AAAAAAAGAGAGAACTCAAACAAAAATATAAATAAGAGAAATAACACCTGACAGCAAAGAAATAACCAGAATTGTAATAGAATATTATGAAAAATTATACATCAACAAACTGGACAATCTAAAAGAAATGGATAAATTCCTAGAAACAGATAACCTCCCAAAATAGAATCAGGAAGAAATAGAAAATTTGAACAGATCGATGACCAGCAAAGAAATTGAAGCAGTAATCAAAAACTTCCAACAAACAGAAGTCCAGGACCAGATGGCTTCACAGGGAAATTCTTTTACTTTATTTTTTATTTACTTATTTTTTAAGGATTTACTTATTTATTTGAAGGAGAGACATTACATGCATGCACACAGGTGGAAGGGGCAGAGACAGAATGAAAATCTCAAGTAGACTCACTGAGTGAGGAGCCTGATGTGGCGCTCAATCTCTCCACCCTGAGATGACCTGAGCCAGAATCAAGAGTCAAAGGCTTAACCACCTGAGCCACCCAGGTGCCCCAAGAATTCTACCTTTTAAAGGGGAATTAATACTATTCTTCTCAAACTATTCCAAACAATAGGAGAGGAAGGAAAGCTTCTAAATTCATTCTATGACACCACCATAGCCCTCATACCAAAACCAGATAAAAACACCACAAAAAGAGAACTCCTAGCCAATATCTCTGATGACCACAGAAGCAAAAATCCTCAATGAAATACTGGCAAAAAGAATACAACAATACATTAAAAAAATAATCCAACATAATCAATTAGGATTTATTACTGGGACATGAGGGTGGCTCAATATTCACAAATCAATCAACATGATAGATCACATCAAGAGAAAAGATAAAAACCATATGATCATTTTAATAGCAGCAGAAAAATCATTTGACAAAGTACAACACCTATTCATGATAAAAACCCTCAATAAAGTAGATATAGAGGGAATGTATCTCAACATAATAAAAGCCATCTACGAAAAACCCACAGCTAACATCATACTTAACAGTAAAAAACTGAGAGCTTTTCCCCTTAAGATCAGGAACATGACAAGGATGTCCACTCTCACCACTTTTATTCAATACAGTATGGGGGGTCCTGGCCATAGCAGACAACAAAAAGAAATAAAACGGGGCAGCCCTGGTGGCGCAGCAGTTTGGTGCCGCCTGCAGCCTGGGGCGTGATCCTGGAGACACGGGATCGAGTCCCACATCGGGCTCCCTGCATGGAGCCTGCTTCTCCCTCTGCCTGTGTCTCTGTCTCTCTCTGTGTTGCACATGGATAAATAAATAAATAAATAAATAAATAAATAAATAAATAAATAAAAAGAAATAAAACGCATCCAAATTGGTAAGGAAGAAATAACATTTTAACTATTTTTAGATGACATACCATATGTAGAAGAAACCTCTAAAGATTACCAAAAAACTACTGGAATGAATGAATTCATTAAGGTCAATAATATATAGAAATCTGCTGCATTTCTATAGGCCAATAATGAAGCAACAGAAAAAGAAATTAAGAAAACAAGCTCACTTACAATTCACCAAAAATAATAAGAATAAACTTAATATATGTTTATTGGGAATAAACTTACCCAAGGAGGTGAAAGATCTGTACTCTGAAAACTATAAAACACCAATGAAATTAGTCAAAAATGACATATACAAAAAGATAATCCATGCTCATGGATTAGGAGAACAAATATCATTCAGATGACCATACTACCCAAAGCATCTACAGATTTAATGCAATCCCTATCAAAATACCAACAGCATTGTTCACAGAATTAGAATACGCAATCCTAAAAATTTCATGGAACCCCAAGAGACTCTGAATACCCAAAGCAATCCTGAAAAAGAAGAACCAAATCGGAGTTACCACAATTCCAGATTTCAAGTTATATTATAAAGCTGTAGTAACCAAGAGTATGGTATTGGCACAGAAATAGGCACCTAGATCAATGGAACAGAATAGAGAGCTCAAAAATAAACCCACAAGGGGCACGTGGGTGGCTCAGTTGGTGAGGCCTCTGACTCTTGGTTTGGCTCAGGTCTTTTTTTTTTTTTTAATTTTTATTTACTTATGATAGTCACAGAGAGAGAGAGAGAGAGAGAGAGAGAGGCAGAGATATCCCTGGCTCAGGTCTTGATCTCAGGGTCGTGCTCTGTGCTCAGTTAGTAGTCTGCTGGAGATTCTTTCTGTCGCCCTCTCCCTCCCACTTGGTGCCCCCCATTCATGTTCTCTCTCCCAAATAAATAAACATTTTTTTTAAAGATTTTTAAAATTTATTTATTCATGAGAAACACAGAGAAAGACAAAGACATAGGTAGAGGGAGAAACAGGCTCTCTGCAGGAGCCTGATGTCAGACTCAATTCTGGGACTTTGGGATCATGCCCTGAGCCGAAGGCAGATGCTCAACCACTGAGCCACCCAGGCATTCCAAATACATAAAATCTTAAAAGAAAAATAATAAACCCACAATTATGTAGTCAATTAACCTTCGACAAAGGAAGCAAGATTATACAATGGGAAAATGATAGTCTCTTCAACAAACAGTGTTGGGAAAACTAGACAGTCACATGCAAAAGAATGAAACTGGATCACTTTATTACACTAAATACAAAAATAAAGTTAAAGTGGATTAAAGACCTAAATGTGAGACCTCAAACCATAAAAATCCTGGAGGAGAGCACAGGTAGTAGTTTCTCTGATACTAGCCATAGCAGCATTTTTCTAGATAGGTCTCCTAAGGCAAAGGAAACAAAAGCAAAAATAAACTACTGGGGGGCACCTGAGTGGCTCATTTGGTTAAGTGCCTGACTCTTGATCTCGGTTCAGGTCTTGATCTCAGGGTTGTGAGTTCAAGCCCCAATGATTGGGCTCCACACTGAGTTTGGGATAGATTAGATAGATAGATAGATAGATAGATAAATAAATAAATAAATAAATAATATTGGGACTACTCAAATTCAAAGCTTCTGCACAGCAAATGAAATAATCAAGAAGACAACATAGTAAATGGGAGAAGATATTTGCAAATGAAAAACCAATAAAGCATTAGTTTCTAAAATATATAAAGAACTTCTAGGGATCCCTGGGTGGCGCAGCAGTTTGGCGCCTGCCTTTGGCCCAGGGCGCGATCCTGGAGACCCAGGATCGAATCCCACGTCGGGCTCCCTGCATGGAGCCTGCTTCTCGCTCTGCCTGTGTCTCAGCCTCTCTCTCTCTCTCTCTCTGTGACTATCATGAATAAATAAATAAAATCTTAAAAAAAAAAAGAAAAGAAAAAAAAAGAACTTCTAGAATTCGACACCAAAAACCCCACAAATAACCAAATTAAAAGATGGACAGAAGACATGAACAGGTATTTCCCCAGAGAACACAGAGGGCCAAAAGACACATGAAAAGATGCTGAACATTTCTCATCATCAGGGAAATGCAAATCAAAACCACAATGAGATGTTATTTCATACCTATGAGAATGGCTAAAATAAAAACCACAAGAAATAAGTACTGGCAAGGATATGGAAAAAAGTTACTCGTGTACTGTTGGTGGGAATGCAATCTGGTGCAGCCACTGTGGAGAACAGTATGGAGGTTCTTCAAAAAATTAAAAACAGAATTACGATATGATCCAGTAATTTCACTACTGGGCATTTATCTGAAGAATACTAAAACACTAATTTGGAAAGATACATGCACCCATATGTTTATTGCAGCACTATTTACGATAGCCAAAGAATGGAAGCAACCCAAGTATCCATCGATAGATGAATTAAAAGTAGATGTGGTATATGTGTACAATAGAATATTACTCAGCCATAAAAAAGAATGAAATCTTGCCATTTGCACCAACATGGATGGATTTAGAGGGTATAATACTGGGTGAAATAAGTCTGAGAAAGACAAATACCATATGATTTTACTTGTATGTGGAATTTAAGATAAAAAACAAAGTAAAAAAGAGACAAAACTAGAGTCTTAACTATAGAGAACAAAGTGATGGTTACCAAAAGGGAGGCGGGGGCTGGGTAAAACAGGTGAAGGAAATTAATTAAGAATACACTTATGGTGATGAGCACTAAGTAATGTATAGAATTGTTCAATCACTATATCGTACACCTGAAACTAACATAACACCATGTTAATTATACTGAAAATTTAAAAAAAAAACGATGCACTCAATAAGGAAATGATCTCCAACAGTTGGGACCTTGAAAAGATATAAACTTATTCAGGAACTACCTGAGAATTCTCCCTCTTAACCTTCCATGTTACTCAAATGTGACCTTTAAGTGGTTCCCAACTGTTAGGCACTTTCCCTCCAAAGTAGGACAGGACAACCAGGAAAGGTCCTTCCTGGCACTGAAGGACAAAACCAATAAATATAGAAAAACTGAGTCTTGATCAGCACTGCTTCTGAGGAAAGATCCTGATCAAAAGGTGGAAATGTGAAAATTAATAAAAGGAAACCTAACTTAAGTGGACTGGAGATGATGGAAGAGATGTTGGAAGGGGGAGTCACACCACTTCATGTCAATTATAGGAAAAAATGTCAATTACAGATCCCTAATAGAATCTTCAACAGGAAAGAATCAATTACAGGCTCCAATAGAGAAAGATACACACTTCCATCTCCTACAAGAAATTGACTACCTCTGTAACTCAGCCAGTGAGAAACCATTCATCACCCTGAACTTTTGCTTTTCTGTCATATTTATCAAATCTTTAATGGTTTTACATATCATCCACAGTATTACAAGACAAATTATGTTAATTTCTTACATCAAATATATTTAATGCTTATACCTTACTGTTACACTTTAACTGCTTCAAACACCTACACATATATATTTCCTAAGATTTTATTTTCAAGTAATCTCTATACCCAATGTGGGGTTTGAACTCATGACTCCAAAATCAAGAGTTCCTCCGTGTACCCTACAGACTGAGCCGGTCAGGCATCCCTCGAACACCTACATATTAATGTACTCAATATACTTACCAAAGTTTATGTAAATCTTCATTACTTTTATTCCTTAATTGCTGACACGTCCATGAAGCTCCTATTAAAATTATGAAATTCACAACATGAAATAATTTTCTAGGTATGTGCCCTGTGGCAAATTACTTACCCTCTCTAAGCCTATTTCTTTATCTATTATCTATAAAATATAATAATGTTAGTCTATTGTAGTATAACATGTAATTAGAATTAGATTTGCATTAAATTAAGCAACACATGAAAAATATTAGTAACATGATTGGCAATAGCATTCAAAAAATGTTATATTAATATAGAATATATTTCCAAAATTTAATACCAAAATATTTTATATCATTATAAAATATTTAATTATCTCTAAAAAATGAAATCTAAAACAAACCTTAAATCTCACTTCAATTAGCAATTTTTTTTATGTTTTAATTTTTATTTATTTTTAAAATGATTTTATTTATTTACACAGAGAGAGAGAGGCAGAGACATAGGCAGAGGGAGAAGCAGGCTCCATGCAAGGAGCCCAATGTGGGAATCAATCCTGGTACTTTGGGATCACACCCTGAGCCAAAGGCAGACGCTCAAGTGCTGAGCCCCCCAGGCACCCCAACAATTTCTTTTTTAAATATGTTATTTATTTATTTAGACAGTACATGTGCAAGGAAGTGGGGGAAAGGACAGAGGGAGAGAGAAAATCTCAAGCCACTCCTGGCTGAGCAGCAGAGTCCCAATGTGGGCCTCAATCTCACAACTCTGCAACCATGACCTGAGCAAAGATGATGGTTGGATGCTTAACCAACTGAGCCACCCCAGTGCCCCTCAGTTAATAATTTCAACCTACTCCTCTTCTAAACCCTTTGCCAACCTGCCAATCAACAAACAACTCTATTACATTTCCTTTTAATTTTCTTTCACATTTCCAAAGGAAATCAAAAAAGGAAAAAACTAGATGATTTCCAAGATTCATAAATAATCCCCAAATGATGGAGGGTTCAATAATTATATTTAATATTAATCAACCCAAATCTTACCAGATTTCACTTTTTCTTCCCCCCAGTTCTTTGGGTCATCAAAAAATTCTTCCAGTCCTTTCCTTGACAATGTGGTATGAAGTAATCTACACTGGTGAAAAGATGTGACATTTGGTATATTCTTAGGCAAAAGACTAAGTGAAAACCTGCAACTGAACATATATAAACAAGTGATTAAAGTTTAACATTTGGATTTTATAAGCAATAATCAGAATCATTTCCTCATCTATAATGTTATAAAAAATTACTCAGGGTTTCTACACAAGAAACAAACAAAATGCTTAAGAAATTATTTTTAATATTGCATTATAGATGTTGCTACCCTTTAATTTCAGAAGTTAATATATTCACGATTTTGGAGGTAATATATTGACATAATTATATTATATTTTATTTTTTTAAAGATTTCATTTACTTACTCATGAGAGACACAGAGAGAGAAAGGGAGGCAGAGACACAGGCAGAGGGAGAAGCAGGCTCCCAGCAGGGACTCAATCCCAGGACCCCAGGATCACGCCCCGGCTGAAGGCAGGCATCAAACCGCTGAGCCACCCAGGGATCCTCTGTTTTTTATTTTTTAAGTGAGCTCCAACATGGGGCTCAAACTCACAACTCCAAGATCAAGAGTCTCATGCTCTACAGACTGAGCCAGGCAGCCACCTCACTAATATAATTATATTTCAAAGTAACATTTTTAGGCCTTTCATACACTGCTAGTGGTTATTTATGCAAATAAAAACATTCTGAAGGTTAATTTGGCAACATGTTATCACAAGCCTCAATGCTTCCCTCTTCAACCCAATAATTCCTCATCTAGAAACTTCAAGTAAAAATATTATATATGGAAACTGATAAATAAAAATGTCTATTAAAGCATTATGTGATATCCAAAAGTTCATAAGAATGTAAATATGTGATCAGAAAATGGTTAAAAAATTATTGTGTATTTGTTTTTTTAAAAAGATTTTATTTATTTAAGAGAGAGTGGGTAAGCACATGCATGTGTATGCTTGTGTGTGTGTGTGTGGGGGGGTGGGAATCCTAAGGTGATTCCATGCTGAGGGCTGAGACCGTTTGGGGCAGGGAGGCCTAATCCCTGACCCTGAGATCATGACCTGAGCAGAAATTAAGAGTTGGACACAACTGACTGAGCCATCCAGGTGCCCCAATTATTGTGCATTTGTATGATAATTTAATGTACAGTAATTTAAAAATCATGTTTTTTAAAGAATATTTACTAAACAGCTGTAACCATTTATAATACAAAAGCAAAGTATATCACAAGTGTTAATTTCCTACCAAAAAAAAAAAAAAAACAAAAAAAAAACAAAAAAACCTTAACCTGAATCTAACCACAAGGACTCAATCAGATAAATCCAAATGGAGGGATAATCTAAAAAGGGTGATTTTATAAAAAATGTTCTGGATTAGGGATGCCTAGGTGGCTCGGCGGTTGAGCCTTTGGCTCAGGGTGTAATCCTGGGATCTGGGATCGAGTCTCACATGGGGCTCCCTGCAGGGAGCCTGCTTCTCCCTCTGCCTGTGTCTCTGCCTCTGCCTCTCTCTCTCTGTGTGTCTCTCATGAATAAATAAATAAATCGTTTTTAAAAAATGTTCTGGATTAAAGATTACTAAGGAGACATAACAACTAATGTGATGAAAGATCATTGATTAGACCCTAGTAAGAAAGAAAGAAAAAGAAATTAGCAAGATAATTAAAGACATTTGAATTTGGACTGTATGCTAGGTAAAAGAACAGTAATTACAGTATGTTAAATTCTCCAGCGTGATCACTGTAGTATTGTAGTTATTAAGACAGTGTTCCTGTTCTTAGGAGATACATGCTGAAAGTGTCATGATGCTTACAATTCTGACATGCCTCAAATAGCTCAAAAAAATAGATAAAGGCATGGATATAAAGATATAGAAAATGTGATAAGATTACTAAGGATTGCATAATAAAAATGAAAATAGGCAAATAAAAATGGTCATTCTTTGTAGTACTTTTACAACTTTTCTATTGGTTTGAAATGAACAGATGATCATTTAATAATAAAAATCTAAAATTGATTTTGAAGAAAAAAAGGATGATGAGGAAGAGACAACTGATCCAAGTTTGCCATCTTTACTAAGTTACAACCTTAGAGCCTCCACAAAATGAAAAAAGTTCTTATCTCTAAGGTAAATATAAGTAATAGCATTGTACATAATAGATGCTCAGCAATTGTCTGTGCTGGGTTCAAGGGCACATACATTATTTCCTCTTAAGACCGACGATGGATTCCATCCGAGTGTGGAGCCTACTTAAATAAGGAAATAATAAGAAACAATTCGTAAAAATCCGACGCATCCAATTATGTATAAAATTCAATTCATTACAAACAAAAGCCAATAAAAGGGAAGAAACCATATACCATAAACTCTAAGTCGGTCCGTCCAGAAAACAAGCTGCCTTTCCAGAAATAATGCACATCATATGTAGAACGGGCTTCTTTTCCTTCATTTGACTACTTTCATTTATTCAATCAACATTACCGAACAATCTCTTTGGAATAGATTCTGGAAGTACAAAGCCCCCTTCTCTTTGATCCATCCGAATCTGACACAGCCTTCAGTTCCATAACCAAAAACTCTTCAGGGCAACTCACCCAAACAGGATGCTTCTGTACCTCCAGGTTTAATTCAACAAATACTACCTACAGACCCCATGGACTGACTGCCTGGCGCACAGTAGGAGACAACAAAACCTCTAAGGAAGGAACGGAAACGTCGCAGGTGGGCAACTTCTCTAAGGTCATTCCTTCCTCACGCGAGCGCCTTCGCCCTCAGCCATCCGCACGGCCTCTCCGCTATCTTCATCTCCGCAACCAAACAAGATCTGAAGTCGGAGAGGAGAACAGATCTACTCGTCACATCACTTACCCTGTGCTAGCTAGGGCCTGAGAACTTTTAAGCAACTTGGGAGCCTTCAAGCCGGTTAAGACCTTTCTCCAAAGAACGCCGACGCAGGCCGCAGCCATGTTCCCACGGAAGTGGGAATAACAAATGCCCGCTGCTGGGTCTTCCAATCACGTCACTTCCGGTGTCTCGCACCCGGGGTGGGGTGGAGAAAACAGAAATAGGCTTTGCCCTCACTCAACATGGCCACCTTTTGCCTTCGCCCTCATTGAGAAATCGGCCCTTTCGGCTCCCGTTGGGCGCTCCAGCGTTTCAATTGCCCAGAGTAGCCATGGCGGCCATGAGTATACTGCAGCGGGCTTCGGTCACTGCAGTGGCCGCTCTGTCGGGCCGCCGGCTCGGTCCTCGTCTTGGATGCGGGGGTTTCCTCACCCGTGGCTTTCCGAAGACTGTCGGTGGGTGCTAAGCTTTGGGAGAAAGCGCGCTTAGGGGACGTGGGGCGAGAGGTGGGGAACTCTTCCCGGGTGACCTTGGTGAGGTCTGGGAGAAATATACGGGCTTGGAGCCGGAGAGACTGGACGTGGTCTTTGGGAGGATACGAGAGTTTTCCTAAAGTAATCAGGTCATTCGCGTTTAAATTGTTGCTTAGTATTTGTGAAACACTTTGCCTTGCAACCATTCCAATGGGTGCTAATTTGCGGATGAAGTTGAGGTTCAAAAGGCATGAAGCTGAGACCCACGTCTCTCCGGCACCAGATTCTCTGTCCGTTCCACCTGCACGAGGTACTGGGCCCCCGAGGTTGGAAGTCGGCTGCCCAGGAGCCCGCTGATGCTGAGTGATGGGAGGCGGGTGGAGAGGCTCAGGGCCAACTTTAGTAGGCACGGTGCCCACACGGTACATTCAGGGTCCATGAAAATGGTTTAATTTGGATTTCTTTTAAAACCAGAAGAAAAAAAGCCTATAATGTTAGTGAATATGGATTGTATTCGTTTTATATCAACACAGTCAGAAAATAATTTTTAAGATCTTCTTAAAGAGGAAGAGGCACATGAAGGAAAAGTGGCTGGGTCCAGGAAAGTCATAATGCAGTTATGGGAGGGCTAGTTGACTCCTAGGAGAATGAATGATCATAATAGCAAAGCCTCAGGTGCCTCGTATTCAACCTAATTCTTTCAAAGACTTTGCAAAGTAAGTACCGTGGTGTTATTCCCATTTTGCTAAGGAAGGAACTGTGACTTGATTGTTACAAAAATACTGCAGAATTGCAACAAATTTATAATAACAGTAGCTAACATTTATTGAACACTTATGTGCCAATGTACCATCCTAAGATTTTTTTTAAAGGTGTTAATTCATTTAATGCTCTTGATAAATATTCTATAAGCTATCTACCCTATGCAATACAAGTAGATAGAGAGGAAGTGAAGTGCACTCTAAAGCCAAAAAGGTTTCTACCCTCAAAATAACTTTCTCTGTTTACCCCTTTTTTCTTCTTCCAATTTAACTTGAAGTATGTCACTTCACACGATGAGGCATTATACAGAGACTTGTTGCAAAAATGATGGAAAGAACAAATGATGTTCAGCATGTTCAAATGATGTGATGTTCAGCAAATTCCCAGCGGGAATTTGAACCCGTTTAAAAAAAAAAAAACTACATATGTTAACACTCTTTGACAAATTCTCTTTGTAAGCCATTTCTGATTACAGATATCCTCTTCAGGGACCCTTGGGTGGCTCAGCGGTTGAGCATCTGCATTTGGCTCCAGTCATGGTCCCGGGGTCCTGGGATCAAGTCCTACATCAGGGTCCCTGCATGGAGCCTGCTTCTCCCTCTCCCTGTGTCTCTGCCTCTCTCTGTGCCTTTCATGAATAAACAAATAAAATGAAAAACTCAAATATCCTCTTCAAATACTCGCTATGGATAGTATTTAATCATGCCTTGCTGGAGATAATCTCAGGTAAAATCTCACTCCCAGATCCTCTTTATACTTTACTTCCCAGGAAAGGATCTAATAGTTTATACCTTATAGTTACTTTCAAAGGTATTTTGCAGGTGGCCTCATCTGTCACTGTGGAATTAAAGGTTTTAATTTGTTATAGTATTGCTTATGTCTGCCTCTATGTGACTGTAAGACCCAGCAGTATAGAGAACTTTGCTTTGTTTTATTTTCTCTGGACCTAGACTGCCTACGTTCAATTTCTGGCTTCAGACTTTAGTAGCTGTGTGACCTTGGGTCATCCTATCTCAGGAGCTAAGTGGAAGGTATTTAATCGCTTGGAACCTACGTTTCTTCATCTTTAAAAAAAGAGAAAGTTTCTTACAAGTGTGCTTATATTCTGTTGACAGAAATAAATATAATGTCTTTCCTATTGACAAGAATTTATAACCCTGAAATATTTCTGGATAAGTTTGCATCTTTCTAGATAGTTGTTTTGAAAGGTACTTATCTTTTACCATAAGAACTGCTTTTAAAAAAAGGGAAATTTTAATGTATCTCACAAGGGTTGTGAAGATGAGTATCTCAAAGAGTTGTGAAGGATGAGTGGGAAAATTGACAGCACCTAGACTTAAAAGCATTAGCCTTGGGCAGCCCGGGTGGCTCAGTGGTTTAGCACCGCCTTCAGCCCAGGATGTGATCCTGGAGACCCAGGATCAAGTCCCACGTTGGGCTCCCTGCATGGAGCCTGCTTCTCCCTCTGCCGTCTCTCTCTCTCTCTCTCTCTGTCTCTCATGAATAAATAAATAATAAAATCTTTAGGAAAAAAAAAAGCATTAGCCTTAACCCTGTGGCCACCCCTTTCTTAAACATCTGGTACTGTTACATTATCTTCATTCACCATCATTGAAAACCTTTCTCAGGAAATAAGTAGATACAAGTATTCTATTTAATCAAATTATTTATTGTCATATATCAAAGGATTCCTGAAACGAGCTTAAGTTCTTCCTCAGCTACAGGAGCTTTCATTTGAAGACTGATGTGTGCATATTATGGTTTAAAAAACTGAGAAGAGTATTTAAATGATAAAGCAGTATGGAGTTAATTCAGACATAAAAGGTGGGACATTTTAACTGGATTCTGGATGGTTTTAACAGGTGCAATTAGCTGGAAAGTAGATGTATTTTCTCATAGAACTGAATATGGGGCTCTTGGGATAGGTACATGTTAAGAGAAAAAGCATAAGAAAGAGAAGTTGGGACCAAATTGGGGGAGTGACGGGTCTGAATACAGAACCAAAGTATCTTAAGTCTTTTGTAGGCTGCAGAGAGTGAGTGTTTTAGCAGGAGAGCAACACCAGTAGTGTGTTTTGGGAAAATACTTCTGAATATTGGTTGGCTTATAAGGGGGTGTGGATTACTTAAGCCAGTGAGTGAGGTGAAGAGGGCACAGAAAGAAATGCAAAGATTGAATCATAGAATCAAGAGGCTTTGTCAACTGATGAGCAAGGGGTAGGTGCAAGGAAGATGAGTGAGATTTTTATCCTGGGTAATTGAGTTGGTGGAGTCATTAACTGGGAATGAGGGAAAGAAAATGGCCAATTTCACATTGTTGTTGTGAAGACACAAAATCTACATTATCTTATTTCATCCTCACAAATATCACAACTGTCAAGAACATAACTTGCCGGAGGTTATTTGCATTTTAAAAAATTGATTATTGAAGTTTTAGTTTCGTATAGCTAAATGAATACCTAGTTGAGAAACTCCAGGCTTTAGAGAAGATGCATATTTAGTGGAAGGAGAATCTGAGTTCCAGAAATCCTGGCTGTAAGCAGTGTTAACCCTAATATTTTTAGATTGTAAGCAGATGGCCTTACCACATCAACAACAAATCGTGAAGATTTGGAATATTTGAAAAGAGTTTAGTGCTATGAAGTATACTTTAGAACAGCTAATAGAAATAATAGTTATTTACCACATTTAATGACATGAATAATTGTTGTTTAACAGTAGAGTAATTATGTGTAAAAGTAAGCAGTTCACTTTACTAACTGCATTAATATTGCTAGAATGCAGCCACACCAAGCTTTCTTCCATTGTTTTGTTTGTTACATTTTCCATATCTATTAATAGTGTTATTGATTGTCACTAAAGCCACACAGAGTTTACTCTCTCTCTCTCTGTTTGGGATGTGTGTTTATGTGTGTATGTCTTTCAGTCTGTTTGCCCGATAGAAAGGAAAAATTGGGAGTACACTGTCTCTTCTGAGTAGATTTAATTTCAGAGAGCAAGGAAGGATCCTAACATATAATTTACGTAAGAAATGTAAATTCAACAATATTTATGGAGCACCTACCATGTGGCAGACATGAAAGAGTACTGGAGATACAGTACTGATTAATACAGTCCTTGACCTGATGGACCTCAACAAAAAAATCAGGCTTAGTGTGTATTGTTCTAAAGGAACTAACAAAATGATGTTAAGGAGGGTGAGGGGGAGGCAGCATTTGATAGGGTAGTCAGAGAAAACCTCTTCGTAGAGATTATATTTGTTCTTGGCCCTGAAGGATGAGATGGGGAGGTAACTATTCAAAAAGCCTGGGGAAAGTTTTCGGTCCAAGAGGAAAGTAAGTGCAAAAACATGAAGCCTGGAAAGAGTTCTTGGAGTTGGAAGGAAATCATTGAGATTGATAAAGTCCAAAGTTATGCCTTCTTGTTCTAAGGCAGACCATATGTTCAGATTCTTTGAGGAAAAGGAAATTAGAAATCCTCCAGGCCAACCCCCAAAGTATCCTTGTTTCATCCCATTGTTGATAGTTATGATATAACTCCATAAAGGGGAACTGGTGATGCAGTCCAATTTTTGTTTTTGTTTCTTGTTTGTTTGTCTGCTGTTTTATTTTTTAGTAGGACTAAATTTATTCAGTATCCTAAGTAAAAGTTTCAATTGTAAGTATCCAACAATATAAAAAGTATAAGACAGATTTGTAGATTTTTCTTTCTTTTTTTTTTTTTTAAGATTTTATTTATTTATTCATAAGAGATACGGGCAGAAGGAGAAGCAGGCTCCGCGCTGATCAGGGAGCCCGAAGCAGGACTCGATCCCAGGACCCCAGGATCACAACCCAAGCCAAATGCAGATGTTCAACCACTGAGCCACCCAAGCATCTGATTTGTAGGTTTCGAATACAT